TTTTACCCCAAATTCAGTCTCCATATGACAACACGCAACACATTTTTTGTATGAGCAGCTAGGCTCTTTCTGAAACAGAGCTTACTGCACTAAAAAATCGTAACATTTATCGTCGAGTTAGATGCCCAGCGAGATCTATCTAAATGTCGGGACGTCAAAACTCTGGAGGCATACAAATAAAACACCAAATAGACAAAAATACGTTCAATTTAGGGATAGAAAAACTTATTTACCCCTACAAGCGACGTGTTTTTGTCTACTTGATGTTAATTCTTCCGCGTCCGGAGTTTTGACACCCGACTTTCAGAACAATCTCGCCAAACGTCGAATTTGATAATGAATGTTACACATGAGGCCCCATTTGACTTTTTCTTTTTGAAACGATTAATTCGCTTGAAATCATCCAACTGGTCTGGTGAGTTTCGAGAAAATTAGGGGATTTCATTTCTCAGTTTCCTCCGCTTCGAATCTCTCCTTTGACGTGAACTTGGCATGTGTATCAGTATCAGGATGAGACGCTTTCCTCGAGGGTGTCGAAATTATTGAGAAATGAAATCCTCTAATTTTTCAATAATTCACCAGGCTAGTTGGATAGTTAAGAGGAAATCAGTCGTTTCTTCACAGTGTAAATAAAAACCAAATGGGATCTCATTTGTAACATTCAACACCCGACTTTTCGAAGGATCTCGCAAAACGTCGAATCAGACGATGACTGTTACAAATGAGTCATCCGACTGGCAAATTCCAATGGGCCTGTTGCAAACTTTTGCTAGAGCAAAAATAAGAGTTGTTTCCTATAGATAATGCCTCAAAAATCACGATGAGCGCATCGGCAAAGTCTGAAATGCACTCATAACTTCACAATCTGCGTCAGAAATTTGCGTTTTTTTTGAGCTTCCCGCTTCAAAAACGATACCACTGCACAGGTGAACATTTTGTTAGAAGAGTCGCTCCATCGTCGGCAATATTCATCATGGCCGACGCTTGCGCAGTTCCGCGCGTATTTCGAGGAGAGTTCAAGGTCAATCAAGGCGGATGAGGAAAATATGAACGTAAACACGCCGATTGCTATCTGGTCTAATCCAGTTCAGGTGTTATCTCGTCCCATCACAGGTGTTTTGGCGGATTGTCGTCGGCCATGATGAGTATTGCCGACGATGGAACGACTCCTCTAATAAAATGTTCACCTGTACCGTAGTATCGTTTTTGAAGCGGGAAGCTCAAAAAACCGCAAATTTCAAACGCAGATTGTGAAGTTATGAGTGCATTTCAGACTTTGCCGATGCGCTCATCGTGATTTTTGAGGCATTATCTATAAGAAACAACTCTTATTTTTTCTCTAGCAAAAGTTTGCAACAGGCCCATTTAAAAAAATCAGAGGATTGAATTCCTGAATGACTACGGGACCCTCGCGAAAAGCGTCTTAGCCTGGTACACACACCAAGTTCACGTCAAAGGAGCGATTCGGAGCGAGGGAAATTGAGAAAAATTTACTTTGAACCACTTCTTAAATGAAGTGTAAGATTGCGTATTCATTACAGAGGAACACGCTCCCCGTAATTCCGTTCCTTGGAGAAAGGGCGTATCCCTGTTCTGATATGAGCCGCGGAAAGCTTAAGCGACACGGGGCGCAGGGCCACCGCTGAGAATGAGATACGCCCTTCCGTCATTTTCCTCCACGTTTACGTTTCCTCGTCTTTGGAGAGCGGGCTTGTGCCTTTTTCTCCTTATTAATTTCGGGAGCTCGCTTTAAACCTCCCGTCACCTAACAACCGAGAGAACTCATATTTTCTCGACGATGTAGCCGTAGCCTTCGCCGCTTTTCGTCAATGGGATTGTTGACTCTTGTTTCGGTGTACACACTGAATAATAAATCCAGAGTTCTCTTGACGAGAAGGCGTCACTAGATTCATCCGTGAGCCTTGCAAGGCGTCGTGTTATATGGACGATGGAGCCTTCTCAAAGTCTAGATAAGCGCTTTTATCAGAGCGATGAATCGTTCGGCCGCGTGGAGAGAAGGACGAGTATGCTTTCGCGATATGAAATGTGTACGGACTACAAAAGCTCAGAGTCAGGGACTGTTTCGTTGCTTACGCATGCGAGAAAACTAGAGATGGAGAGAAAAGAANGGGGGGGGGGGAGAAGCAAGCGAGAATCGAAATGGAATTCTCTCTTTCGTCTAACATAACTGAAAACATATTTTCCTTGAGCTGACCTAATATAGAAAACTTATTTTTTAAACACATTCATTTTCATAATTGGACACAATTGGACCGCGATGAGCAGAAAGGAACCCAGCCACATCAGCTATTGCCATACGTAACTGGACAATTTAAGTTTATACAAGAGAACGTTTTCGCGGATTCTTTTGAAAATTTGAAGGAATTTGCTTCGTGCTATGCCAAAAATTCACTCTTTGCACAAATATCCGCAAAACTTAATAGCAAATAAATTTGGCAATAGCTGATGTGGCTTGATTCCTTTCTGCTTAATGCGGTCCAGTTCGTCGTTTTTCGAGCCATTTTAAGGTTGCGAAATGATAGATTCAAACACATATTTTTTTACAAAAATAAGATTCGGTAACATGCGTAGAAAATTTTACCGATTTTTCACGTGTCAGAAGAAAATCCACTGAAATTTTCAATTGGAAAAGTCTGAAAGTCTAATGAGGCACAGTCGGAAAACAGTTTTTCAGTAAAAATACAATTTATTGTGAAGATGATCATGAGAAAAACTGATCGGAGGCAAAAAACCCAATAATCAATATGCAGTTAAAAAATCTTGTCCATCAATCATATTTCAGAATCTCTCGTGCGTGTTCATCAGTGCTTTTGTTTCTGTAGGCTCTTTTTCACATTCAAACTGGAACTCTCAAAAGGCTCGAAGGTGCATTTTCTGGCTCTATCATTGGCCAGCGGTGCAAGTCGGGGGGCTGCATGACATTCTATCAACGATTTTTTGTCCGCACACCTGTTTTGTCCAGTATTTAACGTCCGCAAGCAAAATAAGCAACAGTAACTTGGTCCAAGCGTTATATTTTAGTCCGTATGTAAAATTATACTGACAATACCGAAATGAGAAAATTGAGAGAGAATGAGGTGATGATATGATGACCCATTTTTTAAATGGAAAGTTATTTTCTTCTTTTTATTCATATTTTCAAATTGTCATTGGTGTATATTTGGTTTTATTTCTATCCTTAAAATTTTCAATATAAAATGAACCTTTAGATATACTTTTTTTCAAAGGAAATGATTACTTCATTTTACAAATATTTACATTCTTAAAACGTGGCACATATTTGTAAAACATTTTCCAATAGATGGCACACCGATATTAATCTCAATGAGTTGTAGTTGCGTTGTAAGAAACCTTACAAAAATGAATAAAAGAGGGAAAAAAACAAAAATCTCGCAATCTTTGGTTTTAACCCATTTCTACATTGATCTTTTGAGTCAAATGCGTCCAATTTTGAGCGTTTAATTACGCGTACACCACGCTGCAGCACAGTAAAGTCACAAAATATGAGAGAAATTATGAAAGTATTTTCGAAATCATTGATCTTAAAATGGAATCATCTTAATATTTACAAAACACACATTCTAATTTCCTTCAATACATATTCTTTTTTTAAATCAATTTAAATCAGAATAATCCATGCAGATTTAGCAAACATTTCAAAATCATGAGTTGAAAAACGGTGACTCCATGAGTTTATATATTAGAGCCTAACACAGAGCGGAGGCCCGGAGAGGCAGCGTGCTGCCATGCCAGCGCAAAACACGCGCTAGCGCCTACAAACCTAACAGGGATACTTCACGCATTGCGCAATGCGTGAAGTATCCCTGTTAGGTTTGTAGGCGCCTGTGCGTGTTCCGCTGTAACTGGCCGTCGGTCGCGCCTCAAGCAACTATTTCACAACACAGCTGTTGCATAGTATCATACGAAATTGAAGGAGCTCAAACATATTAAGAATGACAGGCATCCTTTAAGAGTACGGAGCTTCCCTTGCCAAATAAATTAAGATCTTACGGCACAAAAAGAGAGCGGTAGTCGAAAAATTCACTAAGTCCTAGCATCCATGTGTAATAACGTTTAGCATAATTTTTTAATTTCATTAAAGAAAAAAGTGACGGCAGAGATATTCTTGAGTATGTCGTCAAGAAGATTTTATTCTTAATCAAGAATAAAATCGCTGAATGAAGGCGGGTTTTTGCTTTATGTAAGTGACTTTTCTTTTTGAATAACCATCGTTTCTTCTTTGAATAAGCATTATTTTCTTTATTGATCCAAAAGAAATTCTTCCTGGCGATTAAGAGCATATTTCGATCTGCTTGAATCAAGTCATTTTTTCCTCTAATGAAGTCAAAAATTATACTAAACGTTTTTGAATACGGATACTAGGAATTGGTAAGTTTTTCGACTACCACTTTCTTTTTGTCGTCATCACTCGATTTAATTTGTGAGGAAACTTCGTGCTTTTGAAAGATGCCATCATCATAATTACCATAACTACATTCCTCACCAATAAATAAGGATGTATAAGCAAAGTCAAACAAGGTCAAGAAAGTGTCCATATCAGATCGAGTATTCAAATCTATATAGATTTATCAGTGGCTTCAATCTAATATGAAACTGTGCAACACCTCCGTGGAGAAATAGTAGCTGGGAGCGCCGTGGCGCGCCGGCGCCGACGCCAAGTTATCGTCCACAGGAAAAATCTAAGAGCTTTTAGCCGAGGCAAATCAAAAGGTTTACCCGGTTCAGGTATGAGGAGATTGGATTCTCTCGAAAGATAATTAAGTAATGTTGAATCAAAAAGGTGTAGAGTGTTTTAGTGAATTTTCCCCCATGGAATTGACACGTCCCCGTTTTTACCAAGAATCTCGACTATAGATTTTTCTCCGTTGGATCAAACAAAACAAAAATTGACTTTCGGGCAATTTGTGCTCGGCGCTTCGCGCCACGAACCGGCGAAGAGAAATGTTCAGGTGGCTCACCTTCTTGTCCTGAAGATATTCTGGGTCTACGTAAACGACACCCTGGATTTTGTCTATACTTTTATTCGAAATGATGAGGTCTCGGCTCCCCAGGTACAGTGTGATTTTGTTGTTCGGAGCTGACTTCTTGAACACCCTGAAAAAAACATAAAATGCCAACTTAATTATTGTGCTACCGAAAAGAATGTGCCATTTTCCGACTGATATGCGAGTTTTAGGCTTTCATGGAGCTGTTCGTGATAAATTTAAAGGAACAATATTGTGACAAAGTACCAGAAAGCAAAATATTCTAGTTTAGATTTTGACGTTCGAAATGAGTTCAAAACTCCCATGGGTGTCATTCGGTATCATTCAGCCCTTCCTCGTAAATACAAATTTTTCTAGGGCAATTCAGACTGTTCACATTGGGTCCTGAGGCCGTAAAGGCTCCATGAGCACCCTCAAACTAATGAGCTAATCCGAGAGCGGCACAAGCAGAGCAATACTTCATCTGTGGGCTGATTATTAAAATTGATAGACAAAGGCACTGACAAAGATGACAAGGGGAATAATAAGGAGCAATCCTGTTCTTGGAGGCGGCTGGTTGCAATGCAATGCATAAAGGTTGTAAGTAATGACTAGAGGCATACGCCGAAAGATCCGATTGTTAGTCCATCCTAATCTCTCTTAGTCTGTAAAAAACACCCGTTTCAACTAATTGGATCACCCCATCTTCCCTTTGTATTCTTTGTCAATCGCTTTGTCAACCAATCTCATAAATCAGCCAGTGGAAGAGGAGAAGGGAGCTTTGAAACGCGGAATGGTTCGGACAATGGACCACGAATCCAACAGGCAGGCTCTGAAATCAAGTAGGTACCAAAATACCAAGGTATGAAAAACAAAGGTATGATCTTCTTACACAACCATCCAAAATTGACGGAAAGCGCAGTTTAGCTGGCGCTGTTTCAGTTTTGGCGCGCAGTTTAGGCTACATTTCCCGCCGAGACTGAAAATTTACAGCGCGATATATTTTATTTTCCATTTAAACTAAGTGTAATTTGAAAAGCTTTTGGAGAATCCCCCATAACTCTCTATCGGTAACGATATTAGTTTAAGAATTAAGAAGCATTTCAACATTAATCATACGGTTGTTTTCAATTGACAACTAGACAAGGCACGAATTCAAGCATTCTGATACATGTTTCTTAACCAGAATTTCACGTAGAACACGATTTGCACAACGAAAATTACTGAAACCAACTCTTAATGAAGATATTAACGTTTTTATTTCACATTGGTTACGAGGAATTTAAACTGCCCGCTCACAAGAAACTCAAAGCTCTGCGTGAGTCAAATCGCGCACTTCAACGGTTCCAACAAGCTTCTCAATCGAGCAATGTTCATTCCCACCATGTGTTGTTCAAACTATAAGCAATTTGCTATAGCTGAGCCAAAGCGTCAGGATTGAGGTTGCCAGATTTTTATATCGCAGAGACTGTCATGATAATGTTTAGCGCGCGATGTGAATCACGTAGAGCATTGAGTTTTCATGAGCGGGTGGTTTGAATTCACGCATCAAGTATCATTAAATATTTTCGTAACGAGTTGATTACGGTAATTTTTGTCGTGCGCATCGTGTTCTACGTGAAATTTCAGTTACGAAACATGTATCAGAATGCTGAAATTCGTACCTTGTCTAGTGTTCCATTCGCTCTCAACTTTGTCTGCAGAAATTGTCATTACAAGTATGTTGTGCGTGCTGATTTCAGCTCATTTCATACTTCACTTTTTGGAGGCGTTTCATGTGGAATTTGTTACGATTATTTTGTGCGTGCCAATTTCAGATCATTACATACTCGACTTTCTGAAGACGTTTCATGTGCGCAAAAATCCCCTCTTTGAGAACAACAGAAGTAGAGATTAAATAAATCGCTCAATCCTTATACTTCCTTCATGCTTCAACAGAGTGCGCTATTTTTGCGCACATGAAACGCCTTCAGAAAGTCGAGTATGTAATGATTTGAAATTAGCATGCACAACATAATCGTAGTAAAAATTGACACAGACGCAATTGAAGGCGAAACAAAAAGGAAAGGTATTGCGCTTTTCTCTAAGTCTAAAAGTCAAGAGATGAAATTCGCTTATTCAAGGCTGCCTTAAGAGATGACCGAAAAATGCGTGGTAGATGTATACCGGTCACAGACTTTTCTTTGGAAGGTATCCGCCTGTGCAGGTAATCCAAGCCACGCTAAAATTAAATCCATTTCACGAGTAACCATAAACAATCTCACAGATTTACATAACACGAAAGTTATACCTGGAATCAATGTTCATGACAAAGCGCCGTAGAAATCGTGATTTCCGCTCATGCAATATTTCCCCAACGAGCGGTATAATTAAAAGACTAACTACCCCTTCTTACGTCAGGGTGGAAAAGGGATGAGGAAACGAAAGTGACGTAATTCGAGGAGGCAGTAAAACTAGGTTAGTGAGATATTCTGCCGTTTCGGATTTGACTTGCAAATCGACTTATTTTTGATTCGCACGGTGTGTCCCGGGGTGTACGATAGCTCTCGAGAACAGTACATTCAACGACACCGCTTGCGGCGCTGAGGTTCTTGTCGCGGCCGCCAGGTTGCGCAATCAATGCCCAAAATATTGGAGGGAATTCGATTTTTTGGGGGGAAATCTTGCAATCTCGCTTACGGTCGTAAATACCTTCGGGGCGTTCGAACGGCTTCCTTGAAAAAGAGCACGAATAGGATAAGAATGGCAGGGCAGATATGCGGTTATTTGGACAAGTCGTTAATTTTCGGCACGGTGCGAATCAGCAGATGGAACAACCGTGGGGGTGGGATCACAAACCAACCTCTCTGATCCTAGTTTGTCGCACGTGATTGCCTTGAGGCGGGGATATCATTTTAGATGAATCTCGGGGAGGAGGGCGAGATGCGTTAAAGAGGGTAAGGAGAAAGGCACAATTCAGGAAATCAATAAGGCCCAGGAACCGGCCAATAAGAACAAAAATATACTTTTAGAACTGTTTTTAAGATATTATTGACAATATAGTTTGTAAATTTTTTCCAAACATTTTCCAGCCGCTTATACTCGTTTACGCCAGGTGAATGAGTAATGGAAACAAGACTGCAATTGGATCGCATTTAGCAAAAAGGATCCAGCGCGATTACAGTGTTTCCAAAATCGTGCAACTTCCTCTTTCCTTTTGAAAATACTCAATGCATGCACGCACAGTATCAAAATTTACACAATTATTTTCCTTTAAAATTACCAATTTTTAGGCGGGAAGCGAAAACTATTTGCTATTCCGAGAGATTTTTTAAAATATTATGAAGAAGCAACATTTTTACCACACTGTAATCGCGCTAGTTCCTTTTTGCTGAATGCAATCCAATTATTTTTCTATCCATTGAAATCTATGGATTCGAATCGTTTCCCTCAGGGGCAAGAATCTTCAGTTTATGTAGAAAACCAAACCTTTCAGTCGATGCGGGTGACCGACATTTTTGGTGACAGAAACCGAACATTTGGTTCAGACAATCGAAGTCTTTGGTAAGTAATATCGATGGCCCAAAAGACCAATCGCTTATCTCCATTTGCGACGTTGCAGATTTTCCGTCATACTTTATTTTATCTTTGAAAAACTAGCCAACGCGAATACTTGAAAACCTCCTTGATTTTCTCTCTCGGTTAGCAGAATATTCTGTATAAATTAGAGGTCATCAAGTTGACTTGTTTCTCTTCGACAGAATAAAATAGAAGCTGACATTTTGAAACACCAAAATGGATACGTGATTTCGCACTTCAGCCATCGATATTATTCTCAGCCCGGTTGACAGTATCCTCAGCCATTTGAACCGAATTAAAGTTCCTATACAACTGCAAATTTCGGATAACTGGACCGAATAATTTGGTGTTTCGTGTAACATAAAGTAATTTCCTCGTGTATTCTGGACAGTCAGAGTGAGAGTTGAATGAGATTGTCAAAAACTGCACGGGTGCCAATTTTAAATTCACTATTTCAAAAAAAAATTACGGAATAAAAACCTTAAACATTTTACGTAAAAAGAATACATTTTATTCCAAATGTTCTCCCATAAACTAATGAAATGCCAATTTCGCATAAATTTCAATTATGTTTTTCTCTCTCGGTTTTGGTCTGGTTCAGGAGCAGTAACATGAATTCCGCATCTCTATTTAAAGCTATAACGCGCGTCCGGAAAAGTTTAATTGTCGGCTGAAAGATGATTTGTTGGTGCTTGGAGAAGAATTTGAACGTAAAACCCAATCTACAAAGCGAGACGTAACCAGCCCTTAATATCGTCGCGCCTTTATTTTCATATTGCAAAGTAATAAATCCTCTTCCCATAAATGGTGCCAAATTTAAAGTTTATATTATTTTATTTGGATGGTATTCATCCTAAATCTGTCCCCCCACATTAGAAATTATTTCATATTTTTGCATTGCAACCACCTATTTCCACCAACGGGATCACTCCATTTTTCCTTCGCTCATTCATCTATCGATTTCAAGAATCAGACCACTGATCAATTTAAAACCAAATGAATCGAAATGTCGTTAGAATTGAATCCAAGTTGACTTGATCTCATGTGGACTTCATTTTGCCATTAAGAAGTACAATTTCTGGCTCATCTGTAACAACACTTATGTGTAAAGACAAACTAATGGTACATATCGACGGTGAAAGTCGGCAATCACATAACTCGTTTGCGGTGTCTGAAAATCTCCGCCTCTGCGTCATTTTTTTAAAGGAGAACAAATTGAAATTATTTCTTGAAGTTTTTGCAGAATTTTCTTCGCATTGAGAAGAAAAATCATGACAGTTTTAAAGAATTGCCGTTGAGTAGTTTTCCATTTAAAAAATAAAGTATGACAGGAAGTCTGCGACGTCGCAAACCGAGTTATGTGATTGCCGACTTTCACCGTCGATATGTTGTTTCTAAACTGAACCCGAAATGATGGTTCCCGATTGCAAAATATAGTTCATTTTCGATACAGGAACAAAATATCATTATTCTCAAGAGGATGGAGGTCTGAAAGAGTCTATAAACCTCAGGAGAAGATACGCCTCCGGAATTTCTCGGATTAAGTCACGGATGGGATGACCCCTCTTGGGT